CAACACCACAGCCATTGCTGAGGCCTGGGCCCGCCCGGGCCACAAGGTTGTTCTTATGTATGACACGCGGGCCTTTTTGCACTGGTATGGTGGGGAAGGGATGGAAGAAGGGGAGTTCTCTGAGGCTCGCGAAGACATGGCTGCCCTCGAGAAGGATTATGAAGAGGTGGGCACAGATAGCATCGATGGAGAAGAAGAAGAGGAAGGTGATGAGTATTAGCCTGAATCTTAATAATAGAGTATAGATGCTTAATTTCTCTGTAGAGCTAACTTATCAATTGCTTTACTACTTGGGGGGTCTTTTCTCAATAAAATTTTAATCATTTTATAGACTTGCATTTCAGTTGTTTTTCTCACTTTTTATTTAACTATTATCTGCCATGCTACAATCTGCTCCATGTACATACAATTTCCAGCATACTTTAAATCCAACCCACATTTTCTTCACTTTGTCCTCATCATTGGCAAACTGAAGATGAATTTCAGTACAATGTGGTCTACATATTTAGCTAATCATTATTCAGCTCAAGTTAGCCAATAGTTCAGCACAAACAATCCAATCCAATCCACTCAGGGCTTCAGCCACTAAATACACTGCCCACCCCCACCCCCACCTTCCAAATACTTAAAATAGCAAGCCTTCTCCTTTCCTTCCTATAAAAAGGAGCAAAAAAATAATAATATGTATTTCTTCCAAAGCATACACATAATGTGTTTGTGTCCATTTCTTAAGTCATTTGCAAAAGCATTCTTCCTGATAGGGTGAATTCTGAAATCATTATGAAATGCACAGAAACTACAGAAGCCCTCTTTTTGCCATGCACAAATTAGCAAGTGCTGTGACACATGTTAACACAACTCGTAAATTATATTGCTGACCTTACAAGCAAACCAAGTTCATTTTGGAACTTCTCTGCAAGCCTTTGCGTGTGTGAGTGAAATGTATGCTGGGAGATGGGGTGGCATAGAAAACATAAATAAAATCCTATAAGCACAGGAGAAAGATGCTGGAATGAACATTGCTTCTGACCCTAAAGCGGGGGGAGGGGGAATTTAAAAATGATGTAATCAAGAAGCAAAGTTTTTCAACATACAACATACTGCAACTGCATACTGGTTTGTGTTGATATTATGCAACAGGCAGGGATATCTGGTGGCAGAGGCATGATAAAATAATTACTGTATTAGAAAGACTCATAAATTTGGATTGAAGTAGTAAAGTAGTTTCAAGAACAGAAGCAAAGACTCAGTGCACAGAAAATATTAACTTACCAGTTCCCAAAGGTTGTCTTACACAGATGCTTTTTCTTAGATCTTTAAGGAAAGCTTAAGTTCTGATGTCATAATGACCCCAAACTTTCCATTGGCTACTGAAGCTGTTACACAGTGGGGGAGGGAGCAGCTTTGGGGTGCTGGTAACTTCAAATGCCCAGCTAGCCAACAGGTGGAACCAAGAACATACAGGCAATCTAAGGTAAGGAAACAGCCCCAATGAAAAGTTTCAAATGACAATAAAGAAACAAACTCTGCAGAAAAAAAAAGAAAAGTGGAATATTGGTATGGGGTAGTTTTCCTCACTCTGGTTTCCAAATGTGTTGGACTTCGGTTCTCTTAAATCCAATCAGCAGCATTTCCCTGCTGGCTGAAAATAATAGAAGATGGAAATCAAACACTTCTGGAGGATACCAGGTCCAGGAAGGCTGGCCTAAGGAGGAAGATCATTTGGGTTTGCAGAGTTCAAGAAAGAAGCAACAGACTTTCTTGAAAACAGGAAGTAAGGCTGAGAAGCCAAAGTTGCAATCGTTTTCTAGGAGAGCCCTCCTGTAGTTTCTCAAATGGAGGGCAAATCACAGTGAAAGAAAACATGTCCCTAGGAATCCCTTAGAGTCCCAGTTTTTTATATAAACAAATATTCCTAGGTCCCCACTGGCGCTCACCTGTCTACCCAGACTTAGGTCTCACTCAGTTGATTGCTTACAAAATAACTCTCTGATCCTCCTGATACTTAATTAAAAGTTTAGGAAGTAAGACTGATGGAATTGACCCAACAAATGGCTTCTGTCAGCCCAGATGTGTTGACAGTAAGGGTTTACCACTTCCTCATGCACCTCTCTCTCCAAGGACTGTGGTTTATTCATACAGTAGAGAGAACCAATTAGTCAATCAGAGATGTTGCCTAACTCACTATTTGCAAGAAATCAGAATTTAAAGGGATCAGTCATGAATGACAACCTGGAACCCAAGAATGCAGATAAGGTAGACACTGTTGCTAATTACTGTAGGCAGCAAAAATGGATGGTTAAGAACAAGCATGAATCTCATCCCATCTTATTATCATAATGACTGTTTTTGCAGAAGTCTACCAGTAGTTAACCTAATTTTAATTTGTTGAATTAATCAAATTTTCAGGGTTTTGCAATGGCCTATTAGACTAAATTGTGCTTGGGTAATTGTAGTTCATTGTACTGTACAAATATATCATAGCAATTTTTTCCCTTACTCAAACAGCCAAGCAGCTTATGCCAGTGTTTCTCAACCTTGGAAACTTTAAGATGTGTGGACTTCAATTCCCAGAATTCCCCAGCCAGCCATGCTGGCTGGGGAATT